CCCCAAAACCCCAAAACCCCAAGTTAATGAATATAGCTTATTTGTAGATTAATAATAGTTAATAGAAATTATTCAAATAAAAGTATAACTAAAAAAATCATGCTAAATCATTGATCACTTAATTAATTCATTAAATCTGGAATTTGACCTAATTATAATCACAGCTAATAAGTTTTATAATTCTACAAAAATGACATCTTCTATTTTAATTTAAGATTCCCATTTTCATCATCACTCGCACTCAATAGATGATCAAAAGAGAATGAATAACGATTTATTGCAACATTCATTACTGCATTAAAATAGAGATTTTATGAAGGACTACAATAGAGGGTAAAATATTGACTACACTAAAAACGAGTTGAAGTCTTGCGTTACTGATTTCAAAACAAGACTCAGTCAGATTGATGTTGCTGACTACCTTGGTTAAGAGATAGTTGTTTCAGATGATCCTAAATAAAGGATGAACAGCAGCAAGATGCAGTTTCTAAGCAAAACTAACTTACCAAACGATTCTAAAATTGTCAAACTTCAAGTGGGAGTTAGCAAAATAATAGATGATTAAAATGGCTTTAATAATAAATCGATCCTAGAGTAATTGTAAAAAGACAAAAACTAAGACTCACGCTATAAAACTAACCTTAAGAAGAGAGCAGTATTCCAGCTACCAGATATATAACCTATAAGCACTAAGAACTTCAAAGATACATATCAAAATAATAGTATGAATACTACAATGATGAACAACACAGATACAGTGAATACTCCAAATAAAAAGAAGAATCGATTGAATGCCTTTCTCACTGAGAGGAATGAGTATAACCAGACCATAAGCATACTTAACCAGAAGGAGTCTTGTGAAAATCTGCAACAAGTATTAAACAAATCTAAAAGCATTAGAATTATCTAGGGAGAAGATGAATCTAATTCTGTCTCACCTAAGGGACTCTGGTCGAAGATCAGAGATGGGAACGTCAAAGTAAAGAACTTCAAAATTGGATCTAAAGCTAATAAATCTCCAATGGGGTCCGTCTTAGAAACTTCCATCCAACTTGAAAATGATCAATCTGGAATATTCATCACAGATACTTCTAGACTAATTGAAACATCTAAAGTAGCATTAGAGACTGCTAGGTTGCCAAATATTAAGCAAGATAGAAATTTAAGTATGGATTTGAAAACTATAAGCTTTCATCAGAACTCTAGCAAGTTTAATATGAAAAATATATAATAACTTGATCTTTCTGATGATATCCTTTCCCCAACATACAGATAAAAGAATAAATCTCCTGTCAAAACAATAGCTTACAGAGACATCATTCAAGGAACATAGACACTTTTCGATAAGAACTTTACAATTTCAGATGAGTAGTCTTAGAAAGTTAACACCAAAAAATTTGAATTTAGATAGAGTTCCATGAATATCAATAAGCCTAGGGTTACAAAGAGAGGTACTTTAAAGTTGGATCATAACCTCAACATAAATAGTTCATTGCAGTTACACATGAATAATTAGAGACTAATGGCAAAGATTTAATCTAACATCTAGGAGGCTAAGGATATTAGAAGCTATCTTAATCAGAGTATTTCAAAGATCAAAGAGGATTTACACTATGAATCTATTGAGGATAAAATCAAGTAGTTCTAGATGTTCGGTGCCAATGCCCCTGTTAAACCTCGTATTGGATTGAAAATGGAAAGGGCCAGACTTTCATCTCTTAATATGAGTACAGATTAGATTTCACCTAAAAATAAAAAGAGTATGCTTGGGTAAAAAAAGCAAGTAGCTTTAAATATTTAATCTGACAGATACTGAGTCATTTCTAAATTTATGATTTTAAAATAAAAGCAATCTATGAACTTATCGTATGAGATTTAGTCTATTTTAATTACAAGTATTTACAGAGTGATTCTAAAGATTTTATTTACACCATTAGTGAGTGATTCACTTATTTCGGGGTTTTGGGGTTTTGGGGTTTTGGGGAGATCGGAAGAGCACACGTCT